AATTAACTCTTCACACATCTTCTTTTATTATATTTCCATCTTTTTATCAGGCAGTTCATTATAAGGAGAGACTTATTTAGAAAAGCAATAGAAATCAATTCTAATAATAAGCTTTTACTAATTATTGCAATCTAATTGAAAAAAATTTATTATTTTTGAAAAATTATTTAAAGATGAACAATGAGAAGAAATTATGTTGGTGAAAAAAGTAGAATGAAAAGAAACTATAAAGTGGCAGGGAAAGAAGTAACTTAAAATAAATAAATTCTAAATTAGACTGAGATTAAACTAGAAATAAAGTAAAATTCTATATTGAGTTTGGCAGAGAGGATAAAGTAATCAAATATAGAAAGAAGTCAATATTTAAATATGTCGCCTGAGAAAATTAAAGTTAATAACATAAAGTTGAATTCCTTAGAAATGTTCATGAATGTATTAGAATTCTTTATTGTAACATCACCATAAGAAGATATCACCAAATTATTAACATATGCGAGGATTTTTGCTACTCAAAACAATTGTTTTAGCTTATTTTTAGTTCTACTCTCTTTTCTAATTTAATTTCAATCATTAGATTTATATGCAGTTTTTCAAGCACAGTATTAAAATAAGTGTCAAACAAAAAAGGTCCAAGTAGAGAACCTTAATGCTCTTCTTCACTGAAGTCGACCTTTTTTTTTTCTCTGTTCATAATAAATGTACATTTAGTAATAAATCTACTCTAGGCCAATAAGATCAACTTTATCAAAAATCTAGTGATATATTTTATCATTTCTCAAATGTTCTAAAATCACTTCATTTTTATCATATTGTTTACATTAGAAAGATTAAGGATTACAAGCCTCCAGTTTTATTTCTTCTATTTCAGTTCCTTCATTAGTTTAGCTAAATGAGTCTGGTAACTTGAGTGCGTCACAAATCCTGCTTAGCATGAATATAAGTTTATCAATGCAAATTGATTAACCTACCAACAAAATCTAATTCAATGTGTTAGATAAATTGACTTTGGATTTCTGAATTACCCTCACAATAGCAGTTATGGGTGCATTTTTGCTCAAAGGCACAAGTCTCATTGAGAACATGTATATGTATGTTGAGAATTTTTTTCCGTATAAAAAGAAGAGTTCCCATACTTGGCAAATCTAGTATGATAACTCAATTCATTTAGTCAAAGAAAACTGCTATCTTATTTTATCCCAAAAGTGTAATTAGTGTAAAAATCTTGGAAGCAGGTTCAACAGGGGCCTCTTTAATACCTTAGATTTGAATCAAATCTATAATGCATAGTGATATAGCCATCTTTAATCAAAAACAAAATCACTAATCAAAATTAATGAGAAAATTCATAATTAACCCTTCCTTTCTTAGGTCTTAAATTCTTTGAATGCTGTGAAGTATTTTAGAACTCCTTAGAATATAAGGGCAGAAAAGCTAAAAATAATTCTTTAGCACAGAATCAGAAAGTTTTCCAAAACAATATCACAAAAAATAAATTTTTGAGCATACATGCATATTTCAGGAATCCATAAATATTTGGTGAGAGGCCTATGCTCAGTTGGATCATTAAATTCCATTGTCTCTTCAGGCTTTCCCTCCATCCCTCCCTTGCCTGTCTAAGACTTGATACTAATTGAGTCCAAATTCTCTTCTTTAGGCCTGGCTGCTCCGATTAAAATTTGCCTCCTATAAATGAACAATAGTATCTTTTAAGAATATCCTTATATATTCTAATTGATGATTTCCACCCATCGATTCTTTATATATTATTAATTAAATGAAGCCTGGAATAAATCGCTCCTTACAGATCCTTCCTCGTTAACTTAGGAAACGTGATTGTGAAGAGATTAAAGAATAGATTCTAAAGTGGAATTGGGTTCAATTTTTAAGTGCTACATCTAACAAGCAAAACCAACAATCCTCCTGAGACTAGTTTCTTAGGAGATGATGATGTTGGATTGTTTGCCAGTATCTGTCAAATAAATATTTTAAACCTGTTCCATTAAGGTGAAGGCTTTTTGAAGTTAGGAATCCTTATTTTGTTTTTGATAAGCGAAGAAGGGAACAAATATTTTAAGAATTAAGCAGTGCCCTTAGACATTTATGAAATTGAAAGGATATGAATAATTAAGAGAGAGAAGGGTAAAAATATTTTCATAAATTAATTCATCATAAAAAATTAAAAGAAAGAGTAGAAAATAATAAATATCATGAGAGAATCTGATTAATTGATATCGAACTACAAAATGTGACTCCATAAGTGGATTAAAAGATTGACTGAGATGTAAGGAGAATTGATAGAGGACAAATTTTAAAGATGACCTTGGAAAGATGTTAACCACCTTGATGAAATAAATACTTGGGAATTAAAGTCAGATTGAATTAAATACTTTATAAAAATGAGGGTGAGTATATTAATAGTACAATTCTCTGAGTTTCACATTTAGCAAAGATAAAATTGATCAAAAACTATAATTTGGATAAATTTAACATAGGTTCAAATGAATGGAAGATAATAAAATAATTATTTTTTTTCTGATAAACTAATTCTAATGAAATAGATAGCCCAATTCATTACTATTTGAAGTCTACAAGTTGTAAGTAATCATAAGGTTAATTAAATTGTTCTTCCTTAACAAATGATCAATTAGAATATTGCATATATAAATACAGTTCTCAATTAGCTAGCATGTTAATTATAAAAATTGGCTATCAATGTCAAGTTCTAAGACAAATTAATAATGGTACATAATCGCTTTTAATTAAACTCAGAATTTAAAATTGCTGTGTGGAAACAAAATTATATAATTATTATATGAAGTAAATTTTTCTTTGAATTTGATTAAAATACAATAATGATGGTAAAGTAGAATTAAAACTAGCGACTTTCAAAATTATCAATTATAGTTTATCTAATAAGTAACATAAGATAAATGGTGAAATATTAACTCTCTCTCTTTAATGATGGAGATTTACAAAATCCACTTATGCTTCTTTGCAATTCGTAATGCATAGGCTTTTGTCACAACGCTAAGGCTCAGTTAAACAAGCAACCAGATTTTTTGAAAGTGCCACAAATACTTTACAACATAAGCATAGAGAAAGTTAGTGAATCTCTATTTAATACAAATTGTTATTGTCATAAAGTAGTTGACTCATTGATAAAGATGTGGATAATTTAAGCAACTGATAGTTTTGTTTCAAACTATCTATTTTGAAAATTAACTATTAGATTTATTACATTGAAATGCTCCAGTCATCTATGTTAACCATTTAATTTAAGATATTATTTAAATTAAATCCCTCTATCTTATTTATTACATATCTAATTTACAGTTTTTGTTTTTAACATATTAGTTAAAAATTGAAATTCTAAATAAGGCTCTTATTAAATGAGAATATTATTATTTTCTGCTTGCCTTTTTATTATTTTCTTGCCTGTTATGAAGTGCAGATTTGATTTTTATTAATTTAATTATGCCTTTAATAATAAACCTTTAGGAAAACTAATGAATTATTGAACTCTTTAAAGAAGGAGTTTTATCTATACTTCTTATGGGATAAAAATATAGATTTACTCAAAAACATATGAGGCCATGATTAATTTGATTTCATGAATTAGGTTTATAATAGGATAGCTCTTGGAGTTGACAGGCAATATTAGAAGTTTGTGGAGCTTGATGTCAGAAGATGAAAAATACGTATCCAAAATAGTGGAAATTGTTTTTAATGAATAATGTTAAATGGAGTGTAAATGGTATGTTCTAAACTAAGATTTTTGAAAGTCATTATAATTTTATAATGCAAAATACAATATTAAATACCTGGAAAATGCCTGGACGGAGAAAACAGAGAGGAAAAGGAGATGAAAAATTTAATTTTCTCATTTAGAATTGTAGATTTAAAGTTTTCCAATAATGGTCAGTATTAAGTGACATATGTATCTGAATATAAAATTGGATAATGCAAATTGTTAGGAATATCTAATATATTTTGTAAATATTTATAGAATTAATCTTTGTATAACTAGAGATTTAAATATTAAATGGTTTTTAACAATGAGGTGAAAATATTCTAAGTTTTCATAAAGGTTTCATTTTGGAGGATATACTTTTATTTGTACATTTTTACATATAAACTAGATATAAAGAACAATATATTTCTATACATTGAAAATAGGATTATAGTTTTTGGAAAGTCTTAACTAAGAATCAGCTCCAAAATAAAGGAAAAATCTAATGAGATATAACCAATTACATTCTAAATCAAACGATATTCCAAAGAAAGTTGAATAATTAGAATAAATTTGCTACTTGTACTTTACAATTATTAATAGCTTATCCTCAACATCTATACTTACGGGTTATTAAATTGAACATAGCAGACTTACTTAATAATGCTTCTGATAAGTTAAGTTTATTGGAAAATATATAATAAAGATTATCCTAATTGAAAATGTATTCTTATAATCATAAATAAAAATGTAAAATTAACAATCGATTCTGCAAACGTAAGAAGAGATAAATTCTAAAATTTCATTCTTAAATGATAATTTGGGAATAAACTAATATGATTTGAATTATAATTTGAATGAGATTACAGTTATTTGAATGATCAAACATAATAATATTATGAATTTGAATGAGAATTTTGAGCAGATTGCATGAAAGATAGTATTTACTTTTTTATGGTTGTAATTTATAGGAGTTGTAAAGTTAAGTGTTGAAGTTGTTTGAAATTCTAATTGGATATAAAATAATATAAATTGAATAATTATAATTAATATAATAATTTTAATAGAAATTGGAATAAATATCATAATAATATTAATAATGAATTAATGTGAAGATATAATTGTGAAATGTCCTAATCCAGAACATACTAAGAATGTTAAATAAGTATGTTTTGATGAGTCTTGTAAAGAATAGAGATTATATTGTCATGAATGTATTAAAATTGGAATGCATGTTACTCATCATTAACATTAAGAAGAGTTGCCATTCCTATTTGAACATATTTCAAGAATTGAAAAAGAATCTGATGATTTAATAAATAGAATCAATAAATAAATGGATTTGATTTACAATGACTTCTTTTTATTAATTGGAGGAATTAGATCTAAATATCAGATATCTAAATAATAATTACTCAATTTAAATTTTCAATAAATTAATTCTTTCTTATCATAAAGTATTCATTTCAAATAATTTGAATTAACTATTGAAAAATTGTTATAGGAATTGATAAAGGAATTTTAAGATTAAATAAAAAAATTATAGAAAGATTTAAATTTATTTGCATTAGATTATGATCAAATATCTAAATCAAATATTGAAAAATCAGAAGAATTGTATGAAATAGGTAATTTAATTAATGATTTAGGATATAAATTATATTGGAATGATGACAAATATGAGGAGGCTATTTAAATATTTGATTAAGCATTGGATTTTAATTCAAAACATCAATTATCATTATGGTGCAAAGGTATGATTCAATTTGAATGTATTAGCTGAGAGTTTAAAGATGCTTGGTTAATATCATGATGCTATTGTTTGGGCAGATAAAGCTTTGTAAGTAGATCTAAAGCATTGTAGTTCATTAAGGACAAAAGGTTGATTAAATTTGATTGTGTTAGCTGACAGTTTAAGGGGACTTAACTAATATAATGAATCTATCGTTTGGGCAGATAAAGCTTTGTAAGTAGATCCAAAGAATTGTAGTTCATTATCTACTAAAGGTATGATTAAATTTGAATGTATTAGCTGAGAGTTTAAGGATGCTTGGTTAATATAATGAAGCTATCATTTGGGCAGATAAAGCTTTGTAAGTAGATCCAAAGCATTGTAATTCATTATTTACTAAAGGTATGATTAAATTTGAATGTATTAGCTGCCAGTTTAAGGATGCTTGATAAATATAATGAAGCTATCATTTGGGCAGATAAAGCTTTGTAAGTAGATCCAAAGCATTGTAATTCATTATTTACTAAAGGTATGATTAAATTTCTTAATTCAAGGTGACTCTTTAAGATATTTGAAGAAGTTTAAGGAAGCTATGGAAGTGATTGAATAATCTCTAAAAATTAATCCAAATCATTTTGATTCATTAAGGATAAAAGGTGATACTATGATATAATTAATAGGTGAATGCTTACATGATCAGAAATAATATTAATAGGCTTTAATATTTTATGATAAAGCTTTAGAAATTAATTCGAATCATTAATGTACTTAAAATAAAAAAAGTATTGTATTTCTTAAAATTAGATGAATGTTTAAAAGCCATTTAAAACAAATGATTAATATCATAAATACAAATTAAATACAATATTATACTTCATTTTAAGTATTAATGTGTTTTGTTTTAGATGACATAGGAATAAAATAATTATGTTGAAATTAATATAATTTAATTTGTTCAATTACTATCATCGAGAAAAAAAATTACAATATATATATAGATCTTCTAAATTGAAATATAATAATAATGCTTATATTTCTACAAAATCGATAACTTCTTCAATATAACCATACACAATATTAAGAATATTATATTCTGTTGCTCCTTTGATTTATGTGTATTCTATAATGTGATATTTTTAATTATTAATATTACAAACTTCTTTTCATATATCTAAACAATATCAATTTTATTTATTAATTTCATATTTATCCAACATAGACAGAACTTAATTAAAAATAAGATATATTAAAATATAAACTTGATATTATCTTTAAACTAATGTATTTTTAAACTCCTAATTGCATTTCCCAAATTGAAAATTAAGCCTGATTAAAATCTTCAGTATATACTTTTAATAAATTATATTTTTGTCTCAATCAATCATTTGATTTGAAATGAAAAAAGAAAGTGTTTCAAATATTAATTCAAGGAAATTGGAATTAGATTAAGTCAATTTTTTGTTTTCTACTAAAATTTAATAAATAACTTGAGGAGAATTATTGAACAAACGTTTTGATAGGTTACCAGAGATCATTTTAATTTAAGAGCAATTCTCTGTACACTTAGATAATTATAGTATCTATTATAAGGTCCTTTTGAAATGAAAGAATAACATTTTTTGACTGTTAAATTTCTCACCATTTAAAAATTATCTTAAATAAGTAGTTAATAAATCGTTTTTTAAACTTTCTTTCAATATATATGTTGCCGAATTACTTTGTTCGAAAACTGGTTGAGAACAAAATCTTCAATCTCTGGATTTCTCTAGTAGTTTTTTGAGTTTTTAAATCACTACAATTATGTTTATTTATTTTAATTCATTGCTTGTGTCGGCTTCTGGATCAGGAAAGATTCAATTCAGAATGCACCAGGCCTTATCGATATCACTGTCTGAATTATGATTTTTAAACTATAATTATAAATTGAAAATTCTAATGCTATTTTTATATAATACAGATTGTTTTCTTAACCCTCCATGATTGACATCTAGAAGCATAAGAATAAGATTTTCAGTTAACAAAAGATACTGGTGAATGAAAACTTACAATATATCCCAATTTACTTTAGCTATAAGTACAAAATAATCGATTAGAAAAGAAGATTGATAAGCCATTAAATTAATTGAGCAAGTAGAATGGCTTTATTAAAATGTTCTATTTTAACTTAACAGGATAAAATCACTTAATAATATAACTATAAGTTGAAACTAAGCATGTGATCCTGTCACCTGAAAATTTAACATATGATTGATAAAAGTATTCAATTTTTTCTGGTCACTTAAATGAACTTCAATTTTAAATATTTGAAAATTATAATTTAAAATCAAATCGAAATAATATTTCAATTTTTAGAATGGAGTAAATGAGCTATATATAAGCTAAACTAGTAATTGCTAATAAAATAACCTTAAAACTGCTTAAAACATGATTAAGGGGTATAAGGTACTATGTGCCTTTTCTACATTTAATGCCATTCAGAACCTTGAGTAATAAGTGCTGAAAAGATTTCAATGATTAAATTAA